CTGGTAGTTTCGAACCGCTGACCTTAAGGTTCGCAGCCCGATTCGTAACCACTTACGCTGGTCGTTATGAGTCGGAATCGACTGGACGGCACTTCACAACAACAACCTTCTAGCCTGGTAGCATAAGCTTACCAGTCGGCAGAAGGATTTCCAGCCTCGGAAACCCTATGCAGGGTCTCTCCATAGCACATTACCACCAGCACCTGAGGTTCAAACCGACCTTGGCCTGGTGCTTATCCTACAGCGCCACACCAGGACGCCACCTAGTGGCGCCAGGAGGAACACATTCTTGCCAATTCCTTGATTTAAGCCCAGTGCGGTCCATTTCTGACTTGTAACCGTCAGGATCATAAGGTGTTTAAATTCAATAAGTGAATGATGATCTGCCACAGAAATAATAGAAAACTAATATAGACTGCTTACCTCACATCAGAAGGACAAACAAATCTGTGTTGGAAGAAACAGACAGAATGCTCCTTTGAAGCTAGGGTGATGAGACTTCGGCTCATATTTTTGGACATGTCAGGAGGGACCAGTCCCTGCACAAGGGCATCGTGAGGGTCAATGAAAAAGAGAAAGATCCCCAACCAGATAGACGGGCACAACCACAACAATGGATTCAAACACAATATGAGAATGTTGCTGCCCTGCCGCGTTTCCTTACGGAGGGCATGGAGTTGCTGAGTGGGAACAGACTCAGAGCATGTAATAACAACTTCTCAAAATACATCCAAGCTCTAAATATAAGAACTACAAAACTCTTACAAGAAAACAATAAATATGTCATGATCTTAAATATGGCAATGACAGAAACTAGCAGCAAAAGGGGAAAAAAAGATGAAGTGGAGATGATCAAAATGAAAAATATCTGATTTAAATGTCACCATCAAGGATTCCCGGTGTGGTGTTACAGGATCAGCACGGGACTGCGGTTCAAATCTGCCAGCTGCTCTTTGGAACTCCTATACAGGGTTGCTATGAGTTGGAACCAACTTGATGGCAGTTAGCAATTTATATGACATGTAGAGGAGGCAAATATGTAGGAATCAAAGTGTATCAGTGTTACTGGGGAGGAGAGACGGAATCATTGCTTAGAGGGCCTTCAGTTTCTGTTAGTGGTGGTGGAAGAATTTGTAAGTGAATTATAATGATTACACAATATGATTAATGTACTGTCCCTGACTGTACATATAAAAACATTGAATTGGCAATTTAAAAAAAAACCTTTATTTACAACAAAATGTGGTGCAACCATACAATGAAATAATGTCATAAAAAAACATGAAGTACTGATATATGTTAAATGTGGATGAAGCACAGAAAAGTCAGTGAAAGAAGTCAGACACAAAAGACCACTTATTTTATGATTCCATGGAGTCCTGGTGTGGCGCTGTGGGTTTACGCGCCAGACTGCAAAGCTGTTTGAATTGCAAGGTTGGTGGTTCAAGCTCACCAGTCGCTCCTTGGAAACCCTATACAGGGTCACTATGGGCCGGAACCGACTCTACGGCACTTAACACCACCAATGTGTATAAAATGTTCAGAACAGGCAAGAAAGCCTTTTAGTGTTTGACAGTAGCTGTGCACTGATGGGTATAGCGTTTCCGTTTAGGTTGATGGAATTATTTGGAACTAGACAGAGGGGGTGATTGAACAACCTTGTGAATATACCATAAACCAATGAATGGGTGAATTTTATATGTTAATGATATCTCAAAACTAAAAAAACAGGAGTTAAAAGTCAGGCACTGGGAGGAGGAAAGTATTCCAGACACAGGAGGCAGCGGAGCAGAGGTAGGGAACTGAGACAGGCTGAAAACGCCCTGGGGCTGTGAGAGGTGAGATGGAGGGCACCTACGCTGGAGCAAAGAACCTGCAGTGGCCACTAAGAACCTTGGAGCCCATGGAGGGTGGGAACCAGAACTGAGCTGCTGCTGGAATATGCTTTACTCACCCCAACTCGCCCTTCACACAACTCTTAACAATTCCCTCTCCAACCACCCACATTTTAGCCGCTGCCTCTCATGGGCCCACACACACACTATTCTGTTTCTCATCCCAGGTACAGATGTCTTCTCATTGCTCCTCAGTGTAAATCCTTTCAGGGGCTAACATAGAGACTTGGGAACAGGGTGACTTTTTTTGTTTTGTTGTGAATTATGTGATACTTTACATGGGAGAACATTAGTTTTACATTCATCCTATCGTGTATCATTTCATTGCCATGATTACAATCCCCCCTCCCATGCATCATCAACCAAAGGGTATACCCTGCAAGCCTGCCCCTCGGTCATCAGCACAGCCCCTCTCCCTCTCTGGGTCTAGAGTTCCCAGCTGCTCCATCTCTCCACAGCATCGTCTTTGCCTCCATCTCTGGCGTCACTGTTTCTCTGGGTAGGGTCCCACACTCCACTCTTTCTCCCTTGATAGTCCCAGGGACCTCTGCTCCTGGACTACAAAGTCAACTACCCCCCTCCTTTTACTACAAAATGTCTACCTTTACATTTCCAACCCTCACAGTCAGTCCTGATAGCAATTATTCACTATTGTACCACAAGAGACCCATCCCCTTCTCCTTTCATCAGCCCTGCCTAGACAGATTGGATACTACTCACTGGAGATTCTACCTTCCTCCATGCCCTCTGGATCTAGACTCCCTCTTGAAAGCTTGTAAGCCAGTCATGTCTTGCCTTTGCAGCACCCCCACCCCCATTTTGGGTAGCCAACGGCCAAGTTGCCCATCCCTGTGTACCCTGTGTATCAAGGGAGTGGGAATGATGCTCACTTTAGAGATTTGTTCCCTCTTTTGAGCTACTGCATCCATAGATGTAGGTCAAGTTCATTAAATTGTATCAGATTAATTTTTCCTCTTCTTCTTCTAGTTGAGTTCTGTTCAGCCTGCCATTGAAGCCAGATCAATTCTCACAATCATAAGAATGCTGGGATCTGCAAGTGTGGGTGTTCCTGTGCATATGCCCTCACTTCTTATCAGCGGGATGCTTCACTCTCCACTCTAGTCCTCTGTAGCTATGTCACTGACTCTGGGTCCAGGAGTAGCAGGGTGACTTCTGGCCCTGCATTCCTCCTCCCAACTTGCCTTGAGTCACAGGACTTCTGATTTGGGCAGATCAACAAAATAGTTATCAAGTCATGAAAAGACCTGGAGGAGCTGTAAATGCATTGCAAAGTGAACAAACAGTGTGTCTAATACTGTATGATTCCACTATAGAATGTTCTGGAAAAGGCAAAGCTAGAGTGTGAAAAGATCAATGGTTTCCAGGTTGGGGGTCAAATGGTGGAGTGAAGGTTGAATGAGGGGGAAGCACTGGGCATTTTTAGGTCAATGAAATGAATCTGTATGATATTGTAATAGTGGTCACATGACATTATGTGCTTACAGAAGTTCATGGTGCTGGTGCTGTTAGTACCGTCAATTCAGTTCCAACTCAGACTCCATGTACAACGGTAGACTGCCTGCTTCATTCTCACCATCATGAGAATGCTGGCATCCATTATTGCAGCCACCTTGTTCAGGGTTCCCCTATTTTTGTTGACCCTCTACTTTTCCAATCATGATGCCTTCTTCCAAGAACTGGTTCTTCCAGATAATATGTCCAAAATATGCAAGACAAAGTCTCGCCATCCTCACTTTTACGGAGCATTCTAGTGGTATTTCCAAGAAGGTCTGTTCATTCTTATGGCAGTCCATGGTACATTCCATCTTCTTTACCATCAGAGGCATCCATTTTTATTTGGTCTTCCTTATTGTCCAGCTTTCACATACATATGAAGACTGTGTGATATAGAGTGAAGTTTCTAGTCAACTATGGACTTTGTTAATAATAATGTACCAAGATGGTATGTCCATTGTTACAAATGTACCACATGAATGCAAGAGGTTATCAGTAAAGTGCACTGGGGAAAAGGAGTGGGAATTCTGTATTTTCTGCTCAATTTCTCTGTAAACCTTAATGTGCTCTAAAAGTCAATTCGTTAAAATCAACCAACCCAAAAAGCCTGATCCTGCCAGTCATCGGACTTGTTCTTTAGCCAGCTGGGGAAAACCAAACACCAGACCCAGTGCTCTCAAGCGGATCCCAACTCAAGGAACATTCTGTGTCCGAGTAGAACTGCTCCCTGGGTTTTCTAGGCTGCCCTCTTTATGGAATTGGATTGCCAGGCCTTCTTTCCACGGCACCGCTGTGTGAGCTTGAGCCACCAACCCACAGGGATCCTGTACTGAGTTTTTGAAGAACGTGTGGAAGCTTGAGCCACCAACCTTGCAGTCCCCTTTCTGCCACTCACGGTCACCAGTTGGAAAGGAACTTTAAGCTGCTTTAGGTTGTCCCAGGTTGTGAGACATGGAAGATCCACATTGGACCATCAGGAGGCCCTGGTAACAACTTCATTCGCTTCCTAGTCCTGTATCTCCCTCTATACAATGAGGTCCAAGGCGAGGTAACACCTCCCCAAGTGACCATCAGGTCTGAAGAGATGTTACCCAGGAGGCATGCCCCAGGCTGTCCAGATAACCTTCATTTCGTGGGATCCACCCTTCAGCAAACCATGGGGTCCTGGGCTGACTGAGGTCTTGCCCACCTCCCTGCTCAGGAGCCCCCCTTCATCATCACAACCCATCTCCCTCTGTCACCAGCTCTACTGAGGTGGAGATAGAATGAAGCAGCCATGATCGAGTCCATGAAATATGGACTTTAGTGACTAAAATGTGCCAAGATTGGTACATCAATGCTAACAAATGTACAGCATGAACACAAGATGTTAATAACAGGGGGAGCCATGTATAGGAGAAGGGCACGTGGTAACACTCAGATCCTGGAGACAGTGGGCCATATGGACTGGGCTTAAATCCTGGCTCAGATGGCCACTTTCAGGGACCCCACCATTCTCACCCAGAGCTACGAACTGGCCCAATACTCACAGGGGTGTGGTATCAGGACACCTATTTGTCTGGGCCAGTCTGTTGTACCTGTCAGAATTCACAGGCAGACTAGTCATCTTTCCTTTGGGGCCACTGAAGCAGATGCAGGCCTTTCTGGGGCCCCCAGAGGCTGCTGGGGGCCATTTCCGTTCTCAGCAGAACCCCAGCCTGTATGGCCCTGTCCTGAAGTCCCACTGGTACTCCTTGAAGGTGTCTTGTCTTGCTTGTGTCTGGCAAGTGTAGGCCCATGGGTCACCCATCCGGAGGACGGCCTGCGCCGGGTGGGGAGGACGTAGATGACTGAGCTCTCATTGGAGCCCACGCTCTGGGGGTTTATTTCTTCAACTCAACTAGGAAACAGAATCGCATGTGTGTGGGACCAAAGGGGGTCTAGGTAGTTGGCCCTCAACGACGGTGTCCAAGATCAGTACCCAATGAATCAGGGAGTGTCCAAGCTGTCCTCTGGGTAGCTTGGATATCACTGCCAACACAGGGTCCAAGTTGTTCATAAGGGGAGTCAGCAGGGACATTCAGCAGGTTGCCCTGAGTACCACGAGGTCATGTGAGATGCCATCCCCGGGCGTAGAAGGCCTTGGAGGAGGCACTCTGAACAGAAGTACCCTAGGGTGAAGTCTGAGCAGTCACATGGTCAGAGCCCAGCAGACAGCAAGCTGCAGCCAAGCCAGGCCCTCAGGCAGAAGCTCCGTGGAGATGCCTGGTGGGGACATCTGGGCAGGGGAAACAGTAGTGATGTCCACGCAGTCAGTCCATCCTGGAAGTTTCCGCCGGTGCATCAGGAGGGGCAGGTGGGGCCAGGGGCTCAACAGGGATGGGAGTGTGCAAAAGGTCATTTCCAGTTGACATGGATGGAGATCCCCTTCCAATGTTCTTCACACTCTCTCTCCTCTCTCTCTCTCACACACACATACACTTTCTCTCTGTCTCTCTCTCTCCTGGGTAAGCCAGGCAGATCACCCCACTGCTCAGCTCAGCAAACAGGAGGAAGAGTGCTGGGGCCTAAAGTCCAGATGGAGTAACCTCATCCTGGAACCAGAAGGGCAGCTGAGGGCAGGACGACCTGGATAGGGTTCCTTAAGGCACAGATGGGAGGGAGGAAAAGAGGCCACAGATGGAAGCCAAGGGGAGGCCACCAGAGAGGAGGGGAGGATAAGAGAAGGAGGAGAAAGAGGGAGGGAAGAAGGGAGACAGGGCAAGACCCAGGGAGGAGAGGCAGGGTGGGGTGCACAGAAGTGTAGGTTGGGGTGGGGCCCCAGCAGGGCTGTCTGGGAGCAGGATCAGAGTGAATAGGCGCCTGAGCAGATGCGGCTGTAGATGTCCTCATCCAGGGGCAGGTAGTGGCCTTGTTTCAGGTCCAGGAAGAAGAGTCGGTCCGAGGTCTGCCGGGGGTCGAAGCCTTCACGTTGCAGCTGTGTCTTCTGGATCTTGAATGTACCTGTGGAGGGATCAGGGCTGGGAGGGAGGCTTCCAGGAGCACCCCCAACACACCAACCTCTCTAGCACCACCTGCAGGCCTCTCTACACAGGCCAGCTTCTTGGCAGGAACACACATTCCCATTTGCTCACCTAGTATCTGCTTCATGCCGTCTCCTCCAAGGAAGCTTCCCTGAACACCTTGGTCACAGCAGGAAACTAACTGTACCCTCCTAGCCTGGCCATGTGTCCACCCCTATGATGCCACCACACAGATGAAGGTTTAGCAATTTATGGTCTGAGTTTGTAAATTGACGTTTTATTGGCACACAGCCAAACTCATCTGTGTTTTTATCACTGGTGAAATGAGTTCCTACATTCATGTGGCCTTCTGCCATGTTGTGTTTTTTTGGTTTTTTGTTTTTTTGGGTAAAACTGCTTGAGAGATTTTCTCTTTAAACTCAAAGAACCTTTGCCCTAGTTTTCAACCACAGAGGGTTTGTTATTTTTGTCCAGATTCATTGACATTTCCCTGCAAGTTGAAAACAACTTGAGGTTTGATACTTTTGTCTGGCCCTGTGATTGGTATGCACCTTGCAGGGACTGCTCAATAGACTAATGATGTAGCTGCTGCCTATTAGGCAAATGAAGTGTCTGAGGTCTACTGGGGGACTGGTCATTTTGCCATCGCAATTGGGAAAGGCCATGCCTTAAAACTGACAAAGGGCTGTGTAAACCTGCAGCCAACCCCACAGAGGTTTTTCAGACAGAGAGGAGGAGGAAGGGAATCAGTAGGAAGAAGGCTAGAGAGCTGCAGCACCAATCAAGGATCGTTAATACTAAAGATGATGAAAGGCCCAGAAGGTACCCAGGGGCAGAGCTGACAGTGATGGTCCTGAGAGGGTACCCTGTGGCAGACAGAGGTGGTCACGACAGACACCAGACCAAGAGGAGCTGAGAGAGCTGTCCTGTACTGAGAAGGGACACTTGGCCTGCATGCTTCTTAATCCTGATACTGTGGCGGAGCAAGCCGATTCTGATCCTGGAATTCCACCCTACCACTTCCTTAACAAGGAGTCCTGGTGTGGCGCTGTGCTGGACTGCAAAGTGGGTTAGAACCGCAAGGTCGGTGATTCAAGCTCACCAGTCACTCCCCGGACACCCTATGTAGGGTCGCTATGGGTCAGAACCAACTCGACAGCACTTAACAACAACTTCCTTAACCAAGGTGTCCTGGTGTGGCACTGTAGGATAAGCACTCAACCACAAGATCAGTTTGAGCTGCAAGGTCGGTGACTCAAACTTACCAGTTGCTCCTTGGAAACCCTATGCAGAGTCGCTATGAGTTGGAACCGACTCGACGGCACTTAACAACAACTTTCTTAACTAACTCCATGGCATTTAACAACAACAATTTTCTTAACAAAGACAACTACTGCCCTCATTATGGACTGCAGAGTATCATGATAAATTGAGAAAGAATGAAGTTGTCATAGACTCCATTTTGCTTGGATCTATAATCAATGATCCGTAGGCAGGACTCAAGAAATCAAATGATGGATTGTACTGGGCAAATCTGCTGTAACAGACCTTTTAAAGTGTTAAAGAGCAAAGATATTACTCTGAGGACTAAGGTGTGCCTGACCTAAACCATGGTGTTTTCAATCACCTTTCTGTAGGATGAGCATTGGACTGTGAATCACAAGTTCAGCTGTTCGAGTCCACCAACTGCTCCATGGGAAAAAGATGAGGCTTTCTGCTCCCACCAAGATTTACAGCCTTGAAAACCCTAGGTCTGGTTCCTAAGAGTTGGAACCCACTAGACAACACTTACCAACAGCAACATATGCACATGAATGCTGGTCAAAGGATAAGGAAGGCAGGAGAACTGATGCATTTGCATTATGGTACTGGTGAAGAATGCTTAACGTACCAAGTATTGTCAGAAGAACAAACAAATCAGCCAGAACACTCCTTAGAACTAAGGATGACAAGACTTAGTCTCACATACTTTGGAAATGCTGTCAAGAAGGACATCATGTTTGATAAACTGAAGGATCAGAGAGAAAGAGGAAGACCTCCAACAAGATGAACCGACACATTGGCAGCCAACAACAGGCTAAATCTACAATTGTGAGGATGGCCCATGATTGCGCAGCGTTTCATTCTGTTGTGAATGGGGTCACTATAAATTGGAAATGACCTAATGGCACTATAACAACAACTTCCTTAAACCACTTACCTGCAAATTGTTGTTAGGTGCCATCAAGCCAATATTGACTCAGATCAACCCTACGCACAACAGAATCCAACACTGCCCAGTCCTGCGCCCATCTCACAATCATTGCTAAGCTTGAGCCCATTGTTGCTGCCACTGTGCCAACCCATCTCATTGGGGGGGTCTTCCACTTTTTCACTGACCCTCCACTTTACTAAGCATGATGTCCTTCTCCATTGCCTGGTCTCTCCCAATAATATGTCCAAAGTATGAGAGACAAAGTCTCACCATCCTATCTTTGTAAGGAGCACTCTGGCTGTACTTTTTCCAACACAGATTTGTCCAACTTTCACATGCATATGAGGTCATTGAAAATACCATGTTTTGTGTCAGGCACACCACAGTCCTCCTCAAACTGGTATCTTTGCTCTTGAATACTTTAAAAAGGTAGATCTGCTTAATGCAATACGTCCTTTGATTTCTAAACTTCTGCTTTCATGACTGTTGATAGTTGACAACTTTAATCTTTTCTCCATTTATCTTGATGCTATTTATTGGTCTTATCAGTGGAGAAAAAAACTGAA